TTCCATGCTTCCATAAGCCTTTTGTCATTCCAGGGGGAAGGGTTCATTGAGGGGAGGGTACTGTCAGGTTTTCTTAACCTTCTTTGTTCACTTGAGCGGCAGGTGTTTCTGACACGAACTGTTGCTCCTAGGCGCCCTCTAATGACCAAACCCGTAAACGTAATTATTCTGCAACTACTGGCAAATGGCTGACAAATTCCTGTCTTACAGTGATGATGCAACTCCAGTTAACTATAAAATAATCAGTCTTTTCATTTGGTTTCCACCCTTGCGTTTGTTCAAACCTTCCAAATGCTGTTTGCTAGTTTCTGTGCTCTGTGTATGATCCTGGTTGTGTCTACTGATCTCCTGGTTCCAGACTCTAGCTATTGTACTTGTTCATCCTGCTCTCTGCAATTCCAGACCTGGCACGTCTGACTACCCACTTTGGCTTCTGACCTCTGGCTCAAGTCTGACTACGTCTTAGATTTACCTATTGTTTTGCTGGTTTCTTATTTCCCTGGCAGATATTCTGTACATGAAATGACAGTATAAAAAGTACACAAACTGTTGCTTCACAAACAACGTATAAATATATTGATTCTATTAAATTAACTCCTAAAAAACAAAAATTCCTTTATCATTTAAAATGGGACCATAATGTGGAGGGCTCTATGAGATTCTAATCACTCTTAGGATATAAATTATAGTGTCTTATATATGAAATTTGTTTAAGTACGATCCAGGTACCAGTAAATGGCAGTTGAAATAGGTGTTCCAGTGATGTGGAAATGGCATTCAATTTGCCAGCAATGGATTCTAACAGGAATGTACAAATATTCTTGTAAGCAAATTGGCATTAGTGGAGCAAATGTGAAACCTCCATCTGCTAATATAAAAGTACAACTAGAAAAGTTCATACAGCAGGTTCTTTAGTGCTCATGAAGAGATAAGTAGATAATGTCCACAGTGCAATCAAAAAATTCCATTTACAGCAACACAGGCAAAAGTGAAGCTGCATATTGCACATGGAAATAGAAAACATGCAGGTTGACTGTTGGAATAGTCATCATAATTGCATCTTCATATAGTCCACAAATGTACACAGTGTGGCTGCACACATATAATAGTGACCAGATAGTAACTGCCAGTGGAATCAGAAATTCAGTCACTAAGTGAGGAACTTAGTCAGGGTTATGATACCCCTTCAGAGACAAACCAAATCTTTTAGGGTATTCTCTTCAAAGCTGCCTGTGGATGTAACATTTCTTTTGTGGGAAGTACCAACTAACAGCTGAAATCCCTAATGGCACTGTTGTTTAGACCAACAACAGAGTGCCGGAGTTCTGTGTTCACCTGCAAAACAGAAAGTTTTCCTGGCACACTCACAAGCTAGCATGTAAAAAAACTTGTCTCACACTAAGGTTAAAAACAGAGGTTTGGATACACGTCTTCTGCAGAAAATGTGAAAGCCACGCCACGGCACCTCTTATAGTGCGGTCCTAACTCTAAACTATCAGAGCCTCCATCTTGGAGCACATGGGGCAGAAGATAAAATTGGGTGCAGGTTTGTCAGGAGGAAGCCCAACCCCCTTAAAGGCACAGAGACGCACAAGGGATCCCGCACATCCCAATGGCAGCTGAGACACCCCATGCATCACTGCACCAAAACAGTCAAGCAAAACAGATGACAAACGCACTCATCAATTCGTCACCAGCTTTACAGTAAGGTGCACAACAGAATGGGCTTTAAACAGTAAAATAGCAAAAAGTTTTCCTGGCACACTCACAAGCTAGCATGTAAAAAAAACTTGTCTCACACTAAGGTTAAAAACAGAGGTTTGGATACACGTCTTCTGCAGAAAATGTGAAAGACGCACAGCCGTGCCAAGGCACCTCTTAGTTTAGAGTTAGGACCGCATTATAAGAGGTGCCTTGGTGCGGCTGTGCGGCTTTCACATTTACTATTTACACAGGTGCTCGCTGTATCCAGCAACTGACAGGTTACGCAAAATGTCTTAAACAGGAGGGATGGGGCAAATTTAGATTAGGGGGGTGCCTGAGTTTAGTCTTGCCAAGGGCAGCACAAAACCAAAATACACCACTTGCCCTCTGACCCTACTCACTAGCAAGGTTACCTTCCTTGTCGCCATCATTTCTGTCAGGAGTGCTTCTTAGTTGGCGGCCTCGGCTTATAAAGAGCCTATTCTGATTATCCACAAGGACAAGATTGTACTGAGGCCTAAAGCCTAATTTTTTTCCTAAGGTGGTCTCTGCTTTCCACCTTGTTTTACCTACCTTGTTTCCTGAACGAAAAACATTATAAATTTCTCTCCACTGATTTGGATGTGCTTCGAGCTGTTCACGTTTACCTCTCTGCTACAGCTTCCATCTGCAAGTCTAACTCCCTTTTTGTCATATTTTAGCGTCCCTGTATGGGGCAGCCAGCTTCCTTTTCTACTGTCACCAGGTGTAATTGGTGAACTTTCACCTAGGCCTATA